TCTGAGGCCTCCACCCAGACGGAGCCCACGGAGGTTGGCATCCCCCACCCCCCTGGCCTGCGGGAGCTACCCAGCAAGGCCTGGCGGGGCAGGGACTGGAGACCCCCACACCTGTCCTGCGGGCGCCCGCCTTAGGGCCCTGGAGGCGCGGGCGAGGGAGCTGCAGGAGGAGGTTAGCAGGCTGAGGGGGATCCGAGAAGCGGAGGAGGACATTGACAGATATTTTCTATCCCTGCGGGATTGTGCGACCGAGGAGGGTGAGCCTCAAGAAGAGCCCTCCGCTGCTGAGTGGCAGACGGTCACCACCCGTGCCAGGGCTGCTCGAAAAGAGGCGCCGCCGGTCCCCCGCTGCTGAGTGCCAGACGGTCACCACCCGTGCCAGGGCTGCTCGAAAAGAGGCGCCGCCGGTCCCTCCAGTACGGCTGGAGAACAGGTACGCGGCCCTGGCAGCCCACGAGGACGAGGAAAGGGAGGAAAGATCTGGGGAAGAAGGGACTCCACGCTCACCGAGTCCCGTGCCAGCTGATGGAGACAAGCCGACCAGGAGGAGAAAGCGTCGCGTGATCGTCATTGGTGACTCCATCCTGAGAGGTACGGAGGGCCGCATCTGTCGCCAGGACCCCTCGGCACGTGAAGTATACTGTCTACCCGGAGCGAGGATTCAGGACGTGAAAGGGATGCTCCAAACCGTAATCCAGCCCACCGATTATTAACCCGTGGTCCTAGTCCACGTGGGCACTAATGATGCGGCCAGGAGGAGCCCCGATCGCCTGATGGAGGACTACCAAGCTCTGGGGGGCGTGCTGAGGGAGATGGGCACGCAGGTGGTCTTCTCTTCCATCCTTCCAGTGAGTGGACGGGGCAGACGGCACGAATCATGCGTCGCGGAGACCAACTGGCAACTACGGGAGTGGTGTTTCGAGGCGGGTTTCGGCTTCCTCGATCACGACCAGCACATCACGACGAGAGACGTGCTAGGATGGGACGGGCTCCACCTTTCCCCTAAAGGTAAGCGTGTTCTCTTTTAGGTTGGCAGACCTACTCCGGTGGGCTTTAAACTAGGCTCGTCGGGGGAAGGGGAAGATGAGGGCGGAGGATACATCAGACTACCAGACCAAACGGCGCCCACAACTACAGCCCAGCCCAGACCGACAAGCGCAGCAGATAAACAGGTAAGAGATGGGGACCAGGGGAATGCTGGGACTAGGGGGTCGGTATACACGTCTACTGGAGGCCTGAAATGCCTCTACACTAATGCCCGTAGCA